AATAATAAAGTAGACGTTTCACAAATTTTTCGTTTCTTTTACATACCACAGCTTCCCTTAAATATCCCTAATTTTGCTATGTCGGGCGCATGTAAGTAAAATTGAATAAGTATCCACAACGTAAGTCCTCTATTTGTTTCTCATTTCGTTTTTCAGAAGATTTGTTGTTTAAAAGCTAATAAAAATTCCCACCGTTCAATCTTATTGAAGTCCTCTCCTTGAGCAAAAACGACATATAAAGTTCAAAGCTGGACACGGAACTCTTACCTTCGTGATGCCACAGTTATTGCACTTTCTGTTATTGAAATGTTGGATGTTACCCCGATTACGAGGGTTATATTTGTGTTGACTGTTGTTATTGTTATGTGGATTGTTTCTCAATATTATTCTCCATTTGATGAACTTGAAACTTCGGTACAATTTCATGAAATTTTGCCTGGACAAGAAGTTGGATTATCCGTCATTGCATAACTTTGACTGAGGATGATGTTCCTTGTATTATTTGAGATTTGATTTATCTCTCTTTGTCAGCAAAACCACAATCAGGGCTTAGTTCTAATGGTTTTGCATATAATACTCATCCATAGATTCACCTTCTTATTGTTTTGCTTGACGGAAATTGTGAATTTCAAACTCTACATTCACTTTAGGTAAAAAAATAGCTGTTAAAACTGCTGGAACGTTTGTCTAGATCGGAGTTCGTGGATTTAATCTGGTAGTGAGCTAAAGATTTCGAAAACTTCACTCCTGACACAATGTCAAGCATGGACTCTGTTCTTTTCTCAGCAGCGATTAAAAATATGTCAATCATTGCATTCTAACTTACTGGCTTTCTCTATCTCGTGTCAAAGTGTCGAAATGTCTTTTCTATTTCAATGCCACCAACATAAAATGATCACTCGGATATGACAACCAAAATAACATAAATTATTCAAATAATTTGGCCTTTATTTCGTTGAACCTACCTATAACTTTGAGGGTTGTAATTTATAAATAATTTTCCGGTGAATCGCTCAAAGGGAGCTTTCGCTTCATGGAAATAATGCGGAATTGAAACTAATTATTTCTTTTATTGGAAACTGATTGGAATTGATATAAAAAAGAGCTTTGCTTTTGAACGATATAAATGCGATTATTTCAAATAAAAAGGTACCTACCTACTTTTTTTTATTGCAATATTTCTATTGATCGGGCAGTTAATTGAATTGAAGCCCACCAACTTTACCTATCAGCTGTAAATTCCATTTCCAATTTTCCCTGTGTCAAACTTCAAAATTTTAATTTCCACAAGTATAATATTGCACGGTACTAAAACACCAAGCAGCTGCTGGTGAAATGGAAAAAATAACATATACACTAAACAAATTTTCTAAAGTGCCTGGTGCAAAATTCACGACGGTTTTCAGGACCCGAAGGGCCGCATAATTTTCGCTCGGGATACGATGAAACATTCAAAAGAGATTTGCCGCATTTTGGACACCTTCCGCGTAAAATTTTGCAATCCTTCCGACGACATCGGGAGCAGCTTTTTAATTTTGAATTTAAAAAAGGCGTTGCTTCTTTTTTCCTATTGCAGTCATATCCGAAGCTAAGTAGCTTCCAGATTAGAATACACCGCCTTGAACGGATAATTGGAAAAATACTTAGCTGGAGATTCTTTGTTGAAACATTTTTGCACGGAAATGTTAAAAGTCGCATCAAAGAGATGGAGATATTTTAATTAAAATATAGGTACTCATTAGCATTAGACAAATGTAATTATTACAAATTTTTATTAAAGATCGATGAGAATTTATGTAGGTACTCAGGGAGTGAAAAAATACTTTAGGATAACATATTTTTTGCTGGTTTTGCGGAGAAAACAAATACAATATTAAGGGATTTGCCTCAGACGCTTTTTTTCTCTGGATCCTGTAGGGATTTTTTTGTCAAAATAAATAAATGCGATTATAGGATATAGGACGTAATGCGAACAAGTTATTTACGGAACGAGACATGTATAGTAAATGGAGTTTGTCGCCAAGTTTAAAGTTAATATTTCTTGTAATAGCTATATCTTCTGCGATAATTCAAATATTGTACCTATATTATATGATGTTCCCATAGGAGTTTTCAGGATGATGTACAATAGTAAAATGAAAATAAATGTTTTCTTTCAGAAAGCGTAACAAAGTCTATCTCGTTTTCAAATAGGTTAATCAAAAATAAATGATTTATCATGTTTTTTTATCAGTTTAAGCAGGTCCAGCTTATACATATTCTGATAAACTGTCAAGTGTGATAGGTAATTATATTTTTCGATCAATAAATTTTGTTTTTAAAAACTATTTATTTTATTAAAAACTAAAAAGTTACAACAAAAGATACTAGATTCTAAATTGCTATAGTCTAAGCTACAATACAAATGAATGATCAGAGAAGGCTCAGCGCCTGCGCGCCGTATTTATAATGAAATACTGCTGACGATTGCAAACGTGTGGGCGAAACCTTGATATGACGGTACTTTTCCAGAGCAGTATCGCTTACTCAGCATCTTTATAATAACGTGAACTTTTACAGTAGCATATGCTTATATTTAACATTAGTAGTATAATAATAACATAGGGTTTTATAATATAACTCCTCCCTCCTTAAGTGGTTGCAAATTGGTATTGACTAACAATGTTGGGCAATTCAATCTGCACCTCAGTTTTAGTTTTACTACATGTTCCTTTAAAATATAGAATAAGAACAATTGTTATAAAAATAAACCCTAATACTATGATTATAATAATAGGTTGACACATTATTAGTTTCAAATTTTAACTCTATTAATGGGTCAGTCTTTAATTTGTTTGCTTCTTTAATCGCTGCTTGAAGAGCTTCATGGTCGACTGCTTTTAGTCTTACAGTTGTCGTATTCTCTAGAAGTTCAGGAATGTCGATGATGGGTAGTTCTAGTTCTAGGTTGAAGTTCTCATTCGTGTCTTCAAAAATGTTCGATTGTTTATTGTTATTGAACATTTATTTGCCTTTGAAAATTACGATTGGACTGGAAATGATTTCCATGTATTTCTTCTGATCACATTGCAGCATTGCTGTTACATGTCGTTTTGGAATAACAAATAATTGATTATTGGGTATTTCTTCAACTGTCGATTCTTCGTATTGAATTTTCGTGAATGGGCATAATTGTTGTACACTAGATACAATATCGTGAACACAGGGCTCATCTTGTTTCAATAGTACCATTTTGCATAAATAAATGTCTAATATTTGGACATTTATGTAAAGCGTTGTAATACGTGTCTGTGGTAAGTAAAAGGTAAGGATACCTAACACTAAATTGTACAATTTTGGATGGGTATAGGAAATAATTTACACAATATGAAAGGTTTAGGATATAATTAGTTCCTTTTGGATTACTACATGAGAGGACATTATCTCATAGTATTTAATTACGTTGTCAAACAGTATTTGTTGACTTGTGGGTATGTTTTTCAAGATCAAGTTCAATTCATTATGCTGCATATGGTAAAATGCATTATGCTTGCGCGTGCAAGTGTATGTGGTTAATTAACTCGCGTAATTTACTACTGTGCATATCAATGTTCTCTAAAATTGGATTCACTATGAAGATAGTTTGAATATTTTGATTATCCGTCGAAATATTTCTTATCTTATCTGAAATTAATATCTGATTATTTTCGATATTTGAAAATTGATCGTGAAATGTTTTCGTTACTTGTTTAAGTACGTTTGTTTGATCTTTTAAATTTTTCATCGATAGTTTGCTGATTCTCATATAATGTTTGAATGTAAGAATCATATCTATCGCCGTCATTTGCGTCTAATGTACCATACAGCCATTTTTGTACTGTACCTATGAAATTGAATACTCCACGTTTATTTCGTTGTTCGTGTGAGAATTGTTTTACAAATTTCTTCAATGTACTGATACGTGTTGGACTAGTTTCAATATTTACTTGTAATAAAGTAACAATTTCCTCTTTATTAGACCAATTGGTTAGATTTAGAGTATTGTTTAAATTCTTTAAAGTTTTTTCGAGACTTTTAATACTTTTTCCAATAAGGGTAGTATTAATGTGATAACATGCAGTGTTGCGTTGTGTTGTGATGTAAGTGGTTCCTATAGAAATTGGTAAAATAGGATTTCTTAATGGAGTTAACGTGTAGGCGTTACTGGAAATTCCTATGAGGAGGATGATGAAAGCTGCCAGGAACATTTTGGTTTTCCTGAAACAAAATGTTGTCGCTTTAACATTTTTTTACTAAATCTGACTTGAATTTTAGTACCATAACAAGGATTAATTTTATTTCTGTCAGATTGCTTAATAAAAATAGAATCCTTTAATTCGGGTTCTTTTTCATGTTCTTTACATCTTTATAATATGTGGGCTTTTACAGTGGCGAATGCTTATATTTAACATTGGAAAGGAGAATTATTAGTATAATAATAACATAGGGTTTTACAATATAACTCAGGCTGTGAAAAAAGGTTTATTTCCATCCCAAACTTTTATATTTTTAAGTTTATTATGTGGCATTCTTCAACACCCTGTCATTTGTTCTACTTTAGTTTTAATTCCTTTTCAACTAAGTCTGCACCCCGTTTAAGCGAAAAATAAATTTTATGCAATAAAATATATCCCAGTAGAAAGGTATAATTCGCTGTCAAGTCAGACTTGGCCTATTTTCTCTTCTTTAGCTTCATTTAATTTTATTCGAGAACGATTTCTGTCGGTCACATTTCTTTGATTTTATTCAATTTTCGGACTAAATTAAGATGAGTTGATGATTTCCTTGTTAAACGACATTTTTTTTTTTGGTTCTTGCGTAACAACTTTATTAAACGTAAGAATTTAGCCTGCTTTAAAAGAAACTTTCTAGATAAATACATTTCCAGAAGGTCAATATTTTCACTTGCTTGTACCGCCCCCAAAACTATTCCCAATAGATTACCAAAAAGTAAAATAAATGTATACAAATAAACAAGAATATTATTCTTTATTCGTTTCCAATAAAACTTCTTCAGCAACATTCGCTGAAGCTCGTTTGCTTTTTTTGCCAAACTTCTTAAACCCGTCAAACAATGTAGTTGTTTTTGAACTTTCAGTATGTCTAGATTGATCGGTTTTGCTCGATTTTTTTGATTTTGTTTTAACTTCTTTGGCTACTTTTTCCTTTCTTTTTTCGTCTATAATTCTTTGCTCCAAGATTTCATTTGTTATGCCCATTATCTCGGTTAGGGTTTTTCCTCTAGCGTATCCACAATCTCCTCTGCCAAATAACCAACCAGGAGCCACACCTTCTTGATCGTAAAGTAAGATAGCATTCCTGCAAGATGTATACAGGATTCTTGAAACTAGGATAGTTATTACATGTAAAATAGTTATTGCACTTATAATCAAGGTAAATGACTCAATAATCTTTCCAAAAGGAGATCTCATTTTTTTTAAACATCCTTCAGTATTGAGCGAGTTTGTAACGGTTTCAGGTTCATCCACCCAGAGGTTGGTGTATATTCGTTGCTGCAAAGGATCGTGAAGACATTGTAAAGGAAAATTCACTTTGCAACAAGACCATGGAACTACGGGTAGTGTGAATTTAGTATTGTCGAGACGTAATTCTTCAACTTGACGAGCTTTGTTTTCGATTATCTTGTCGTTCATCCACTCGATTCTGTACCAATCTTTGTACGATTCATATCCACAGCATTCCAAGTTGTATTGTATTTTATCTATAGTTTCCTTCGATTCTGAATCGCTAAGATACGATTCCATTCCTCCTTGCAAGGAGTTTTTCATAGATTTTATAATATGTTTGTTAGCTTTTCTTGACATGCTTGTAATAATTAATAAAGTAACAATCATGTTGGTGCCTGCGCAATACCATAACAACAGTAAACTTCTTGTGCTTTTTTTGTGAGCTTGATTCGTGCATTTCTGGCAAATTTTGAGTCCGATTAACCAAGTCATTGTAATATTAACACCAAATATTATATAAACGACGAAAACGAAATCTATTTCGGCCTTTTCGGTAAGAATCATTGGGGATATGGCCAAACAGACATATATGGAAGTTCCAGTTATTGAAAGTCCGAATAAAACTTCGATAATATTTAAAACGTAAAATATTATTGATAATGTGTTTCTTTGGGTTTTAGAGAGTTTAAATAGGCCAATAGCCATTTATAGTAATAGATTTCTTTTGACAATGTTTTTTGACAGTGGATGTGTCTGTATAGGTAAAGTCCGACAAATACAATTTTTAAGTCACGTGATATTGGTGGCAAAAAACGTATGTTCATTGATTATGTCGTTGATATCACCTACTGGTGGTTAATTACTACCTATTGAATTTTAAGATATGTTCCCACTAGCATTTTACAAACGCGTTTCTGAAGTAGTATTGACCAATCAGATGGGAATTTGCAATTGTTGCGAGACTCACTTTTGTCGCTTCTGCTGCCCCTTGTAATACATTCTGAACTTGAATTGGGTACCCGTTTTCTATTTGCAAGGATAGAGAAAAATCACGTGACTTTAAAATGGTATTCAGGGGCGCCGATTACGTGGGTGCTCGGGGGCTCGAGCACCCACGGGACGTAAACAGTGGGTGCGAAGCACCCACGAGCATAGACATAAAAACTGATAATCCTCTCTAGTTCCTGGGAAACTGGTTAATTTTGTACCTCGGGTTCCTGAAATCTGGTTAACCAAATGTCAAAATAGTTACCGGCCATCGGATGTCGGTTCTGTTGGCTTTATCAAGGTTTTATCTGTAACTTCTGTCAATTATGTTTTATTTCCATATTTGCGTTCCCCAAAGTAACCGGAATTTTCAGTAAACATCTGTTGACCGATTCGGTTACTTTAGCTCTGTTCCAACAGACATGAAAACCTTTCTAGAACGGTAATTTCCAGTCGATCAATTCATTTGTCAGTTAGGAAAAACGTTTAACTTATTGAAAAATAGGTGGGCAACTGGAAATTATTGGTTCTGGAATGGTTCTCATGTCTGTTCAGAGCTAATGGTTAACGTTTGGTTATATTTGGACCATAGCCCTATAGGTTATGTTCCGATATCAACTCTGTCAGTACTGAATTTACTGGACGCCATTCCAATATTATTTTCAGCACACTGGATGCAGTCGATTCAGTACTGAGTGACCACAAAGAGTACGCTGTTGAAATTGGAACGGCAAATGACAGTAAAATCAGCACAGTAAATCCAGTACTGGCAGTTGATATCGGAACATGGTGGTACTTTGTTAAGAAGAAGAAGATGATGAAGAAAATCAAAAATCTTTTATGGAGAACAGCGTAAAACGCAGATTTTCGGTACATGCTGCTTGGAAAAGAATATCTGCAGGAGGGTTTTCCACACTTTACAGTAGAGTGTTTTCACAGCTATCAGACCAATACCCACCTCTACCACGTAAAAACCCCCCTCCAGCACAGCCATCATACCACTACCCACCTCCACTGTACCCCCTTCCGTGAAGCTCCTACTCTGAGGAGGCACTTTTTACCCACCTCCACTGTAAACCCTCTTCCGTAAAGCCCTCCATTAATCTATTTTCAAAAGGCTCCTACCCTGAGATGGCACTTTATTATAATCAATTCTTCCATTTGTATTCGTCAATTTTGGGGTTGGCCCGGGTCAAATTCCCAACATTTCAGATCAAAAGCGCCGCCGATCTAGAGATTTTCCCACGTTATCGAAAAACTTCCCAAACTCAAGTGCCCCCGGCTATTAGACCAATACCCACCTCTACTACGTAAGTGGTCTATCAGATTCACAAGCAAAATGTTATTATTGCAATAAAATTAATCTCATGGAGTTTAGAACACTATTGACGTATACAAATGCAGGAATTGTTGAAATATTCTTTCAAGAAAGTGAAGGGATATGGAAAGAGGTACCTCTTTAGAGTAGAAGCTTTTTGACGTAGTGGTGGTGGGTATTGCTCTGATAGCTGTGAGGTGGGTATTGGTCATAAGCAGGTGCATTAATTTTATTGCAATTATAAATATTTTGCTTGTGAATCTGCTAGTCTGATAGCTGGGGGAACTTGAGCCTGGGAAGTTTTTCGATACCGTGGGAAAATCTCTAGATCGGCGGCGCTTTTGATCTGCAATTTTGGGGATTTGACCCGGGCCAACCTCAAAATTGATGAATACAAATGGAAGAATTGGTTAAATATTATTTAGTTTTCTAGAAAGTGGAGGGATATAAAAAAGTGTCATCTCAGGGTAGGAGCCTTTTGAAAATAGATTAATGGAGGGCTTTACGGAAGAGGGTTTACAGTGGAGGTCGGTGAAAAGTGCCTCCTCAGGGTAGGAGCTTCACGGAAGGGGGTTTACAGTGGAGGTGAGTAGTGGTATGATGACTATGCTGGAGGAGGGCTTTTACGTAGTAGAAGTGGGTATTGTTCTGATAGCTGTGAAAACACTCTACTCTTTACCCTTATAGCCGTCTTTTTTTTCCAATTTTAGCAGACACCGCAAAAAACTTACGCAAGCACCAAGCAACATTAGTTCCCGCAGCTGAAAAACGAATAAGGAAAGGTGTGAACTACGTTGTTTGAAATGTATCACCATTCCCTCTAAGAAGGGAATGGTGATACATTACATACACGTCGGAATGTAAATTAAAGAATGCTGGTAAACGTTTTTGGGCGTGGCATCTGGAGAAGTTTTTTCGCCACCGGCGAGCTGTTCACCCCCCTTATAAATGCCGGTGCATGAACCTCAGCACCCACGAGGTTTTCTGAAACCCGGCGCCCCTGATGGTATTTGTTGGACTTTATATGAATTAGGCCCATTTGTACCAGATGGAAGTTCAGTTGTAGTGGATCTTCCTCATAAATGCTCGACTTCAGTCCGTAATATTGGGAGATGATATTGTGTGACGGCAGCTTCTGGGATGCGGATACACTGATTTCTTTCGCATAGGCTGGACATATTAGTTCCTAAAGGTTTGCTCGATGATACTGTATGTATGTACATCCAGTAATTTTCTATAGAAGGTATTCTAGAAGTTCGTTTATATAATTTCACATAATCTTAAAATATGTATTTCCAGTTTGTTTTCCTAAGTTATTATTAAGTCTCCGTTTCGTTGGATGTTGCTGGAGCATGCAACATAAACTCAGTTTGGTGATTTCAGGTTTTGATTAGGTCTCTTTTTTATTTTTTTATTTTAAGGTTTTATTGTTTTTAGATTTAGGTTTTATACGCACACACTTCCCTATTTTGTTACTGCTCTTTAGGCAACTGGGCCCATAACCTGATGTGATTTTTCTCTTACTTCTATAAAAAGATTTCAAGCAATCCAAAACTCAAAAATATGTGCTCAAAACCCAGATAATCAAAACTGAGATTATTTGGAACAAATATATTTGAGGTATTTTATAGCTGTAGTTAATTTAAGCTCGCCCTAGCCATGCTACGTCGATGTTGTTCAAAATCCATATTAATTAGAGTTTAATTATATAGGGGAAAGCACATGGCATGATATACTGCGGACTAGGCGATAATTTTTGTAAATCTGATAAACTCGCGGTAAAAAATCACGATCGTTATTTTCAAGAATAAAGCTTCGAGGCTCGTTTAGATTAAATGCATTAGGCGATAATGGTTATATGCTAAACTTCCCTTTTGGCAAATATGTTGTTTACGAAGTGAAGTGAGTTCATAACATTCTCAAAGCCACGACTAATTTTCCCGAAAATTTAAACTTTTAGTCTGCTTTTTGCGGTAGGGTCGTGTCCTCAGGGCGATGTTTAGCTTTCGGAAATAATAAACAGCTATTTTCCAGGAACCCCCACTGAGCCGCTATAGCGTTCAGTCTCCCAACACACATTTAGGCAAACACTGTTTTTAATTAAGCATTATTCACAACGTACGTGCCAGTGAAACCCTTTCATGTGCCTCCCCTAGTTACGTGAATTAGCTTTTTTCCGTCCGCTTCCAGGTTGATATACCCTATTCGATTTTTTTTCCTTTGGTATCGGATTTATCTGCCCGCGAGGAGATTTTAATTTCACTTCTCTTTTTCTTTTTCCCCGTATTTTCAGTATGCAACAGACATGTCGAAAACATGAAGCTTATTTGATTATAAGCTTTAGGCACTTTGATCCATTAACCACCCAGCAGAGTTGTCTCTTGAGGGATTAATTTAGCCCTTTGCGGTAATGCCCTATAGTAGACCAGGCACTGGTCAACATAAACATTCAAAAATTGCATTTTGCCAAGAGAAAATGCGAAAATTATGGTAATGGCTTCCACCTACGAAATTTTCAACGCCGATGGTTTATAGGTTGCAAAGTAGATTTGCATCGCATCATAGCGAGAGCCGGCCCGAGGAATTTTCACCAGCTTTACGTGAATCAAATACCTAAATAACAAATTTTTCGAAATACGTTTTATACTGGAGCAACTTGCCTATATATAAAATCCCTAGCGAATAAGGATAGATTTAAATTTTACAGAATGAATTGGGTGTAAGTTAAACAAGATGAGACGAATAGGTACGACATTTAACATTTTTAGATAAAGGTTAGAAGTAGGTATATTGCTATGTAATTTCGATTTGAAAAAGTTGAATATATAGGCACAAATTAAATAAATAAGATTTCAAATAAAGTAAGCTTCAAGAGGGAATTAATTCTGAGGTACAATTAAACAAAGATATTTGACTTGTGCAGCCAATTTCCAACAAAAGTCCTCTGGACTAAATCGTTAGGGACTCCAATTTACATCAAACTATCAAACACTAAAAAGGAACATCCACACAAGTTTCTCAATGTTATCACTAACATTAGTCGGCGAAGATAGCGGTACTATATTTCTAAATTAGAACTGTTAGATATTCAACACTACATCGAATAACGCTAATAAAGGAATAGCTGACGCTAAAGATAAAATTAGGATTAGTTGAAGCTGTTGTAAAGCACGGGTCTCATTGGGCTAGCTTTAGCGGACGATTGTGAAACGTGAATTTTTATATTCGACATCAAATAGATTCGTTTCAATGACCCAAAGATTTGCCAATCGTATGTGACTCTCCTTCTCTAAATTGCAAATATTTCTAGAGAGTAAAGCCAGAGAAATTGTAGTCTTTTATGAAATTGTAGATTCTTTGTAAAAAGCATTTGAATATACTCGTTCCCAATCATGCAAAA